AGTTGGTTATGTTTACTACTCGTTCTGTTCTTTTCTTTTTTCTCCAGATTATTTCTGTCTCTTAAGAAAAAATCAAGCTTCCGTTACCGTCATCTGTCTGTGTGTTTGGATGTCCCTATTTAATTTTTCAATCGTTCGTCCAAATTTCACGAAACTCTGTGCCACCGTCATGACATTGGAGGCCATCCTAAACTTAATTTCGAACAATCATTAATAACAGTTTGGCAAATAAGCGAAACTGAGGTGATGAATTGTAATAAATCTTCCGAAGGGTCTTAAACACTCCCAAAATTGTGTATGAAGTTTTGTAAGTGAACAGTAGCAGTTATGGCGAATGTGTCAAATTTTTGAGGTTATAATTTAAAAATTTATCGTGGACAGACTTTGTACCAAAGTAAGAGGCCTTTCCCAGATGTCAAATAGCGGTCCTGGATCTTCTTGTATCATAAAGATAGCTGTTAACCTGGTTCGTTTGTAGCCTGTGTTTAGAGTGGAAGGTAGCTATTTGAACCATGGACTTGGGAATAATATTTTGTATTAAAGTAAATTTCCTGTTCACTTTAATTCCGTATCTCTAAACTTCGATATTTTAATTTTCTTTAATGCAGATTTCCTCGTATTATCCATACAATATAAAACATACCGAAAAATAAAATTTAAACATTCTGGTGCAATGTACTGCGTTTATGTTTTATAATTCGAAGTAAAATTGTCTAGTTACACAGAGTTTTAAAATTGGTAGCTGCTTTTGAATTACCCGGTGTGTGAGGGAGGTTGTTACGGGAGTGAAGCTAAGCCGCTGTATACCTCGAAATCCCCTAACGTTAATTCTTTGTAATGTTCCTAGGGAATTTTACTTTCCTCTCATTGAGACGCCAGAGGTGTGCGTGTAATCGGCGCTACAAGACGCAACATTTTTACAGTTTCATATACTTCGTATTTATCTATTGTGAACAAATCTTTTCCGGCGTTGTTAAAGTAATATTTTATAATAAAATTGACGATAATAATAATAATAATAATAATAATAATAATAATAATAATAATTTAATCTTCATCTTTAGAAGGGCCTGTGCTGAAATAAATGAGAAATTTAAAATATTATTAAAGTATTCATATTTGTCACGTGTAGTCCTAAATACAGAGAAGGCCATAACTTATTCTGTAATAACCAATAGAATTCCAAATTAAATTAATTAGATAAAATAATAAAGTGCAGTTTTATTTTTATGTAATAAATGTCAGTTTATTTCATGCATATTAAGACAATAACATCGCTGTTATTCCAGAATAAATTACGGACACTGCTATACCAATTAAATGTCTTGAGAGAGCGTCTGTCTGTAACTGATTCTACACACATTGCATTAACAGAGCGTGCTGCAGACAACTGTTCGTTGAATGGATAAAAACTTGGATGAAAATATTGTTTCTGCGAGTGTTTGTACTGGGAACAAAATCCGATGTCATTGTTATATTTCTTCCGTTACATGGCAGAACAGGATGAGGGACATTGTTTGCTATATGAACGTGTTTTCAGAGTATAAGTTGTAGCGCTGAAAAGAATAATAGGCCTATCTGTTCCTTTCGAAAGATTTCAATATCTGTTGCATAACACATCTCAGCTGAGAGCTATGTAACAGTCACGTGGTAAACTGCGTTACGTTCAGCTAACAATTAAAGAGTCATTTGAATAAAAATGTCCTTGGATAGTAAAATATAAAATATAAAACGTAAAACGATGTTTCGGAGATGGGACTCTATCTCCGTCTTCAGGTTCCTACACAGTTGGGCCCACTAGATAGAGCTAATCCCTATCTCCGGACCGGACGACTAGACTAGACGATGGATAATATCCAAGGAAATTTTTATTCAAATGACTCTTCACCATCGTCAAGAAGTTTTAGATTTGATATAACAATTAAAGAAATGAGTAGGCCACTATAGAACCACTTGGATTAATCCATTTTCAAGCAAATATATTGACTTACACATGCGATAAATAGAATTCAACAACTTCTGACTACCAAACGTGGATTTTAAGTATTAACCGTTTACTTTCCATTTGTATACAGTTTTGCCAACCGCTTTTTTTTACACACGAAAATGTTGATACCTCCATAACATTTGCTGCAGTCAAAACTGTAGTGACATCATACTCCTTTAAAGCCAAGTGGTAGTTGTATTTACTTCCTGCTTTAAATCTCAGCACCTCTACAGTCTCTAAAATGCGTATATAGATTTCATATGATTCTCAGAATAAACAGCGATCATTTCCCAAAACAGCATTAACCAGCTGATCTTTGTAATGGAGATGTATTACGTTTTCTTTGAGGCTGAAATTGGATCATTAAATAATATTATACCAGCTTCAGTTTAAAAACAAGATTTTTAGACTGGCATTGCTGTACATCTTACTTACACATACACATTTTAAACTGCATAGGCGATAAGTAAGTTAATTCATTTTGAATAAAGTAATAAGATAAAAAATGTACGTTTTACAAATTTTATACTTGTCATTTTCATGAACAGCGCAAACGATTTAGTAAAAAAACATATTTCATCTATTTTCTCGACAAAAAGTAAAATATTTTTGTTATTTTATGACTGCAGAATTTATAACGCCTAGCACGAAATTAGGATAATGTGAAAGGTGAAAAGGGAATGAGTGAAACGGCCTTGAAAAAGTCTTTGCTTTTGACTTTGGGGTAATTCTGTGTTAGCTGTAGAGGTCATATACCACGAAATTAGAAATTGTAGGTCGATGTTGAATATTGAGTCTCCAAGTCGATTATGTACGCAGTTGGCTGGAGGGTTTGAGAAAAACCACAGTACGTCAGCTTCGTTAGTCTGATGAGCAGATCGGGAACTTACCACAAGAAACACGTGGTCGGCGGAGTAATCAGCTTGTAATTGAACTGTGACGTAAATGACAAGGTTAACCAGACGCAACTAAGTCTATCGACTGCCATATAAAATAGATCGCTATAAAGTTGTCACAATAAACTAAAACAGTATCAGCGAGTATCATTTATGTTAGCCATGTTAGCCCGTCTAACACTTTCAGAAATGAAAAATAAAAAGTCTTCATTTTGTTGTCCATTAATACGCCATACACGAGAACATAGCAGAAATGATCAGATAAAATTAATTGTTAATCACCTCCATCCAGCCCGTTTTAGCCACCACGGTCAGGCTTACATTCCCCTTCCCCGTAGGCGCATTTACAACGATATAGAGTTGGCTTGTGGGAAGAAGGGACTGCATTCATTACCTTTCAATCTAAGATATTAGCCAAACGTCGACTGCTAACACACTAATTGCTTGTATGACGTAGAAAATTGTATCACATTTCTAGTGCTTTTAATTGCATAACCTTTGTTGTACGCCGTGTTATGTGTTGTAACTTGTGATTTCGCATCATGAAACATGATGTATGATGTATAGTATACTCGATTTACAGAATGTTCATGACTCCGCCCCCTCTCCATCACCCCTCGGGATTTGGCTAACGCTTTTGAAAAAAGTCATGCTCCGCTGCTGGACGCTATGACACGTGACCTTTCAAGTCTGCAACTATCGCCGTCACAATACACTGACGCAGCAGAAAAAGCTATGACACGCATCCATTCCTCCCTGCTCCGACGTTTAAGTCCGAAGAGAGAATCGCTGACTACAGCCATCTGAGAATTATTGCCAGAACTACAACAAAAGCAGACGGAAAAACAGTTGAATGGGACAGAACTGCTGTTGACCGGAAATGGATAAAAGTGAATCCACTGTTTGCTCTGTCTTGTCTCCTCAATAACTACGTCAGCCGTGTCAAGTGGTTATCGGGATACGTTCTCTATTTCGTTCATCGCAGCGCTCCGATGAGCGAAATTATGGTGTCACAATCCACTTATATAGACTTTTTCGGTACATTTGTTTTATACCCAAGGACGGCGTTTCAAAGAAATGAGTAAGGTGCATTGATATTGATAATAAATGATTTGGTGTTAGATATTACGATTCTTTGTTCAATTGCGTGTGGCGACAGGTCTCTTGGTGGAATTTGGTTATGCCAGTAAAGTATTTTCAGGTTGGCAGCGTCATAGTTCAGGCGTTGGCCGTTGGCTACACACCACAGACAGCCAGAATTCACGCCCAGGACAATTAACTGGGATTTGTGGTGAACAGATTAGCACTGGGGCAGGATTTTCTCCGAGTGTTTGCGTTTCCCATCAACGCTCCATGCCCATCATTGTCAATGACAGTTTTAGATTTCAGACGAATATCGACTTATGTTCATACCACTGAGAATATTTATCGAACTTTTTAAACTGCTGAAACGTCCCGTCGTGTTAAACAAGCAGCTTACAAGTTGCGCTGTGTATTTAGGCTTGCAGTTTCGACATTTTTTGTATGCCGCGGCGAGTTTGTCGTATTTTACATTGCTGGGGTGTCGTATTATGAGCTGCGTGAGGAATTTTGACAAATATATTAACTGTTACAGAGGCATGTTATAAGTTTTGTACTACTTTTCAATTCCGTGGTAAGTACAGAGTGAAGTTATATGCATCTATAAGATCTTGCGATTATAATATTTCACAGCTGACTGAGGAAGGTAATGGTCATCGATAAATACGTAGACAGTGGACGGAGTCACTGACGTGACACACAAAAGTCACGTACGCCACGTGTGTGCACAGGGACAGTTTAATCACTCTGTAAAGTGAGGAGTTTGAAAATGCTTTGTAGATTACAGACGTATTGCATTGTAACCTGGAGGCTTATGACAGATTTATAGAATATGTCTTAACTGCTGTGGTACAGCGATATTTAGATTATAGGTGATTGTTATAACTTTTTTTAAGGTTGCCGAGGGTTTTGAAACTTCTGATTAATTAAAACACTTTTATACTTATATCTTACGAAGTACGTCTTCATATTTTAAACTTTTCGGCAATCCAACAGAACTGCACACATTGATGAGGAGTTTGATTTATTTCTTGCAGACTGCCGAAGAGTACCGGCTGGAGTACGACTCTCGTCGAGGCTCGGAATATTCTCGTTTCCATGGATACACTTACGACGGCGTCTGGGCTGTGGCACTGGCCATTCAACATGTGGCTCATCGCATACGTCATTTTCGGAAGAATCAGACCGTTGTGGACTTCCAGTATCGTGATCCCCTGTGGGAAGAATTGTTCCTGGAAGCGCTTCGCAACACCAGTTTCGAAGGAGTTACGGTAAGGACAAAATTATATTTATTTTATACTTCCTCCGAATGACAAGGATAAGGCTATTTCGACTTCCTTCTTCTCTGAATATTTTGTTAGGCCTACGTCAAATTGCCATTATGAAACACCTCTGCAGTTATTCACTGTCGTTTTTCATATTCCTACCAACTACATTAGCTGCTGCTTGTACTCCTAACACTTATTTTGAATATATTCTTGAATGTAAATGAGACATTATATAAGTAGCGTATAAAATTTTATTTTCTACGAATGCTGTAAGCGCTGTTATGATACATCCCAATATGCAGGACTGCCAACAAGAGAACTGGCTTATTAACGTGCTAAGGTCAAAACAGAATTAATATATATATATACCGTGGTACTTTCGCAAGAGAACTCCGAAAGGGGTCACGACGGTCAGGCTTGACCATAGACGATTAAAAAGAATATATGGATTGCTTTAAGATTGTATGCTCAAGATATAATCCAGTGAGCATCTGCACTACCTGTCCAGCCCACCTTATTAATTTCCCTGTTGTTTTTATCTTAACAATTTAAATCACGTTTCACTTAAATCGCCTGTTCTGTTTTGGAACAGCAGTATTTTTATAGCCCTCTCTTTCCGGATATGTTACGACCTTGTATTCTTACCCAACGTACAGTTTACGATAAAGTCGGGATTACATGTGCTTTACGCCACGCCCTAACTTATGTTAGTTTATGGCCACTCAAGAAGCAATGTGTTTGGCTGTAACTGCCGTTTCACACCACGTGCTGATCAATACATACTTGTTACGCTACCCTTGTGCCTAATCAATGCCTGGACATAGTAGTGAGTCTTCGGTTATTAGACGTGTTCATTGAAACAAACGGTCGACTTCAGGATATGCCCGTTTTATTAATTTGAAAAGAGTTTCCATAGCTGTGTGAACAATTTACAACGCAGGTCGAACCACGACTGTCTGCTCCTACATTGGCAGTCACCTTACTGACTTCCAGTTGTACCAACTGATTTAAAGACAGTATTAATAGTAAAGGGATGGACATCATAATTTGACAGGAATGACTATACTCATTAAGTGTTCAGAAGCTCATTCCAGGCATGCGATGTTTGTTTCTGTGTTACGTATTTCGGATCTTAATTTAACTTTGCGTGGTAGAATGTCTGCAGATCTTTGTCACAATTTTTGCATAACAGGAAATAAGAAGTGGAACGCGGACTTAGGTGCCGGGAACGAGATTCAAATTCGGAAGACAATGAGTGCCCCAGACCACAGAACGACTGAGATCGGCGATTTGTATGCGTTTTGGTTATTTTATTTTTCTCCCAAAAATAATGTTCGCTGGGTAGTTTCTTGTATAAGCAAACTACTCTTTCTAAATTTTAAATTAGTGTTTTATGTGGTGTTCTTTCACTGAAAACATATCTCTAAAGCTGTAATTTCAACGTGTTTATGTTACGTGTTGACAAAAGAGTAAATAAAGGAAATGAAGTGTCAGATGTGGGGACAGGTAGGGTAAATATTGATGATATTGCATTGTGTCGCCATTGTCTGATTAGACATACTCCTTGAATCTTAGTCCTGTGGGATAGGACCTGATGCTCTTGCTTCCCCCCCCCCCCCCCCCAACCCTTAACTACTGTCTAATCTCAACGGGGTCAGGAAGCAAAGCTTCCATTCCCCTTCTCACCCCTCCATTGGATAAAGGGACTTACACACGTCAACCCCCTCCCCACATCCCAATCTGTAGATGTACTCCACTCACGGTCCGTCAGGTTTGGATTCATAACAGTGGAGCGGCCATTAGACTTTGGTTGTGTTGTTAATACTCAAGAAGCTCAGATTCTGTGTGACGGTGACAGCTGGAAAAGTGAGACAATTGTTTCTCAACGTAAAAGGTTCAAGATACACCAATATTTTACGACAGTGTGGTTTTCGCATTGTCAAAATACCTAGGCTGATGTAACAGGCTTGCACTACCACGAACATATGTCAACATTTTTCAGTTTTCTCTTTAGCTCGGCCTGCAGCCAGATTTAATTACAAAAAACTTCTTGTGTTGTTATTACCATGGCATCATACCATGCATACATTATCAGTTGCAAATAGAAGAGACACAATATAATACAGGCTTGAGGGGAGGAGTAACTGTATGATATTCCAAGCTAACATGTTGGCCAACCTGGACTGCTAACACGCAGCCAACATGAGTGCTGCTTTTGACTTAGTGCGCTGTTAGACATTTCTCGTTATTTTAATTTCGTGGGACCATATCTTTTGTTGTACGCATGTGCTGTGTTGGGACTTGTGCATCATGGAAAATGGAGTATGATGTTACATATACAAGAAACTCTCGGTTTACGAACGTTCGATTTATAAACATTCGCTGTAACGAACGTCGCAATTCATTCAAAATTTCTTAAAGTCGCCAGTAGATAGAGTTCCTTATAAAACGAAATGCCAAACGTATAGTTAACATAATTGTAATATTTAAGTAAATAAACTTTTAAAAAATGTATTTATTACAATAATTATCAAAAAATTATTATATGATAATTATACTGAACTGTTCTTGGTTAATAAAACTAATCTAGCCAGTAAAAAAACTTTGGTTTACATGCCTCGCCGCGTAGAATTTTTTCTCGTGGGAAAGAAATCGGTGATTCCCCCTGTTATAATATAAAAGGATCATCACTTGCTTTGCCAAGGTTATCTTAGACGGTCAAGTGTAGTTCTGCATTTGGTGACTTAAAAATATATTTTTAAAAATTTAAGCGATCATGGATCCAAAGCGAAATAGCAATGCTGGTGCTGATAGTGGTAGCTCGTCATTATGGTGTTAACCAATCGAATATCGTAACGTATACGATACTTATCGTAAAAGCTCAAGAATGCAAGAGACACATAACGAACAACGTCTTGTAACAGAACTCGTTCGTAAACCGAGAGTTGACATCATTTTCACGATCCCTCCGCAGTCTTGGGATTCGGCTAACACTTTTGAAAAAGTCACGCAAGTCACCTTTGTTATTCACTTAATAAATTCTGGAAGACATAATACGAACTTAACAGGTATCCACTAATTCATCAATATAAATATGTGAATCCAGTTGCCAATGGTTTTATTGAGTCAGTAAGTAAAATAGTTTTTATTTTTTTATTGAACACATCTTAACAAATCGCGAACTGTGACACAAAGTTTAGAACTTCGCATTGAGTAGTTCATGGGTTTAAATCTCAGCCCATAGACCAGCCTCCCTGGAAGAAAGTATTTCATAGTTTTCCTCAGTCCCCAGGCAAATATAAATTTAGTACCTTGAATTATACCATGATCTCCTTCCATGTCGTATCCAGTTTGTTGTTCATTACTTAACCTATCATTTGATATTCGGTGTATAGTGAGCTACTGAGAACACTGCTAAATATAACACAGAATTAATAAATACATTTTCATAAATTCCGTTTCTAGAATTAAAATGTTTTCTTACACAAGTTCAGTGATTGAATACAGTGGATTTCTATAATTTATCATTATAATTTTTATTTTATATATAACATGTATATTTTTTTGCAGGGGCCAGTGCGTTTTTATGACAATGAGAGAAAAGCCAGCATCCTCCTTAAACAATTTCAGAGTAAGTGTGTTTATATCTGTTCAATGTAAGTACATTTTTCTCCACCAGGTGTGGACGTTTGGTGTGCCATCTCTGAATCATTCCATGCACTATATTTATTAAATATTTAAAACATTATTAACTCAGTGATACAGAATCTGCTTGAGGAGTTGATATTTATTCAGCTGCTTAAAATCCATGATTTTATGCAACCCAGATAATCATCACTGTGTTCGCAATAGTCCATAACCCTGAGAATATTTGTAAATAATTCTAACCTATGTGTTTTGTATTTTAGCAGTTGTTATCCAAACTTCCGAGCTGTTAGACCATTCTTTGTCTGCTTTCTGCAATTGCCTATTTGACATGTCTTCAACTACCCCCATATTTTCGTAGTATCAGCTCCATCTCCAATCTTAGTTTGAGCCACGTCTTACTGATGAGACGTCCACACAGAGTTAATGCTATAATACCCAGACCAAGGACGGATGTAGTGACAGGAGGCTGGAGAACATTTCGTAACAAAAAGCTCCAAAATGTTTACTCTTAATCAAACATTTTAGGATGATTCGTCAAAGGAGCGTGAGATAGAACTGGCCATGTGTCACTCACCAGGGAAATAATAAATGCTTACAGAATTGTTTTTGAAGAGCCTGAAGATAAGACAGCACTCAGAAAAACTAGGCACGGATGGAATGATAATATTAAAATGTATTTGAAGTGTTTCTAAAGTGTAATTTAGATTCTTCTGGCTCAGGATAGGGACTAGTGCTAGGCTGTTGTGAATGTGGTAATAAACCTGAGTTCCATAAAAAGCAGGGAATTTCTTGACTAGCTGAGCATACTTTTAGCTTCTCAAAAAGGACTCTGCTTCATCAAGTTGGTTGGTTGATTGGATGATCACTTGGTCAATCCATTAGTTATGATATCCGAACAAGAATAGTATAATGCAATTGGTTAATTCTGTATTTTTGAAGAAGTTTTATATTATTACATTTTTTGCCTTCACACACCAACACGTCTTAGTTTATGTTCCTTATAAATCTTTGGTATTCCAAGCACACATTACTTCTCATAAATTGATGATTGTTTAGAAATCAGATTAATAAATTATGCCAGTGTTGGTCTTCTGGGTTGAAAAGCCATGTGGACTCACAGGTAGATACCAGCATTTATTAGGAACATATCTCTTCACCTTCAGCTCTGAAGATGCAGTCAATATGTTCCTCAAATCTCATGGATGAAAAACGCAGTTGAAGACTTGGCACGGATAGGGAATGTCTGTTTATAGTGTTCTGTAGATATGTTACAGGAGCTTTTTTTCAAACAAACGCATTTATTTTTCGCATAAAGACACTCAAAATTTTGAACATACTTTCTACTCCTATCTACAGTTCATCACCATACCAAATTTCACAATAGATGGTATCATAATTTTAGAATTATAAAATTAACTAAATCTTTTATACTCTGTCAGATGGTTCCGAGGTAAAGATCGGAGAATTTGATGGTGTAACAGAGCAGCTGGATCTAACAAGAGGTCACATCATTAAATGGCATGGTCGTTCCCCTCCCAAGGATCGCACACTCCAGATATTTGAGCATTCACATGTCAACATCACGATATATTCTCTGCTCGCTGCCACAGCCTCTGTAGGTATAGTCATGGCCATCTCCTTCCTAGCCATCAACATCACATACCGCAATCAACGGTGAGTATGTATTAATTTCTTAGAATGTGACAGAGTTAGCCTTAGTTGTTTGTAGGATTCTGACACTGATAAAATAAGGGACTCCTCCTTAATCCTTTTCCTGTTTTGGTTGGGAACATTCTATATATAAATTTGCTCTTTTGAACCTTTTCCTTAATTTGAATTATAAAATTATAAAACTACATTTCAGAAGCTGGTTTCTGCTTCTGTCTTCAGGTACAAAAGTGCTAGGGGGACAGGAAGCTTATCTGTTCAGCCTGTTGGTTGAGATAGCCTCAGACCCAGTAGACAACACTGGTATAGTGTCCTATAGAGAAGGAACACAAGTACAAAACCAGCAACACTACAGAACTAAGGCTGAAACTGAACAGAGTTGCACATACCGTGGTGAACGTTTATCATTAAGTTGTTTGCCACCGTCGCCAATGCCTAGAAGTTAAATGTGGTAACTTTAAAACATCTGCAATAGTTTGCCATGTGCCAAATGCTACTCCTTCTGCACACACCAAATATTGACCCTTTCTCTGTTATGCGACGGGTATTTATTCTTTGTTAAAATGTGTATACACTATTTGAAACATCCTGTGTTTGAATGAAATCACATTTCAATATATTTCTATCTTATTTCTTTAAAAGTTTTGAGAGTAGAGTTTGCTTTAGGGGAGAGAAGCTTTCCTTTTATACAATATCTTAACTTCCAGTCACAAAGCTTGTTTGATTCTTAAATAATATTTTATATGTGAACATCTGAGTATCTTCTGACTGCTCATTAAACTTTTTCAAAGAGACCTTACTTTCCTTTCAGATCCAATGGACTCATTTTTCTCAATCTCTAATATTTATAATTCTGAAAGACTGAAATAATTTCTGGATGGTGTCTAGTACTATCAGTTTGGAAATAAATCATTTCTAAAAACTTATATGATGTCTTTATGAAATAAATTAACTTCTGAAGTTATGTTACATATCTGTACGCAGCCATCTCTTCCATTCCTAACTATCAATACATTTCATTATTACATTAGTCATCATGAACTCTTTCAGAATCCCAACACCACATTACTATATAATTTGTCACCTTGAGGTTTGTCTGTTGTATTTTTTCCAAGATAAACTTTAACTGTACATCTAACTCATTTCTTAATTCTCTATCTGCTTGTAACTTAAGTGAAGTAAATATCTTTATGCATTCTTTATATTTCTTCAGCAGTTATACAGAGAGATAATTCTGTGAATATTCAGTCTGTAGTGTTATGTCTGTTATCAAAGAAACATGTTTTGCAGAGCGCTTACTTTTGGTGTGCAATCTTATATTTCAGAAAATTAGCTTCATGAAAACTGTACATCCATCATACATCAGCTTTAGATCCCAAATTGAATGAAGTTAATCCTGCTCATAACCAAAATTTCCCCACAACATTTAATACTGTAGAGAGTGGTTAAAAATTAGGGTATTGGAGTGATTTCAAAGCACATGCCTTTCATACTAAATTTCATAAAAGTTTGTTGTTTGTCTGTAAGAGTGAGTACAAACTTACTGAAACATTACAGTTTATAGAATAAGCCATCTGTAGTTTTTGTTGTTTGTTGCAGATATATCAAGATGTCCAGTCCATACCTGAACAATCTAATCATCATTGGATGCATGCTGACATACAGCAGCGTCATCTTCCTAGGCCTGGATTCAACGCTCACCAGTGTAGAGGCATTTCCCTATATCTGCACAGCTCGTGCTTGGCTTCTCATGGCTGGCTTCTCCTTAGCATTTGGTTCAATGTTTTCCAAGACATGGCGTGTTCATTCCATTTTCACAAATGTGAAGCTCAACAAAAAGGTCAGTCATTATTCAGACGTAAGGAATTTTCAGTTCAGATTAATTCACATAATTCTAGTAACCTTTAGTTATGTGTTTAGGTATGAGAATTTCTAATGTTATTTTGCAATAATGTTGGTTAGTAAATTTATAATTCTTTGAAGGAAAGAAATAGTAATAAGAAAGTGAAAATATTCTGACATCACCATCAGAATAGAAGTTACTGACCAAAAAAATATTAAATTTGATCCATTATTTTCCACTGAGTGCTTGGCTGCTTCTTCTTCTTCTATGCCTCTCGAGTCCGTATTCGGTCCATGGCCTCCTCAATTCTCCTTTTCCATTCGGTCCTATTGTTAGGTCCATTCTGTCCACGGCTTTGATTGACGTTTCGAAACATCTGTGAAATTATCATAATTTATATTGCCACCACCTACTAAAGATTGAGACATGAACCCTTTGTGGTTCATAGTCAATACCACATGAAATTAGGGCATTGATACTATCTCATAATGGAATATAAAATGTTTAAAGTTGAGCAGTTCCAATGATTTATTTCCTTTCATTCTTCCAGGTCATTAAAGACTACCAACTATTCATGGTGGTTGGAGTATTATTGGTTATTGACCTTATTATAATGACTACATGGCAAGTTACTGACCCATTCTATCGAGAAACAAAACAAATGGAACCATATGTAAGTTGTACACTTTTCAGAAGAAAATATCTATAATGGTATCAAACTTTAGAATACATAGAACTTTTGTTATATTATCTGTACACCTTCATCACAAGAATAACTGCATTAATGAAGATGGTTTATCAGTGTCTTATCTACTGCAGTTGCTTTTCTTTGCAGTTGCATTGTTAGAAAGTAAAAATATAACGTGGAAAATTATAAATTTCAAGTTTAAAAAATGAATGATCAGTTCAGATAGCCACTGTCAATATACTGATAAGTTCTTATCAGTTTTGACTGACAATTCTGGAGTTATGCCAAATACTTCCATATCATTCTAAATAGACACCAAAAAAGTAACTGTACATACCAGAATAAAATATTTATGCTTCACACATAATATTCCAGGTTTCAGAATGTTGTAACGTGTGGAAATGTGCTACCAACCGGATGCTTTCTTTGTCTAGAATATTTTTCCCTTTGTTTTCTTAGATGTACACCACTTCCTAAAATGTTCCAAATAAAAGGTATAAAACTTAATTATGTATATTTGAATATAATGTAGGCTTCTATGATTTTGTACTATGAAGCATTTTCAATTGAAGCAATTTTAATTTGAGTTTTACATAAAATACTAGTTGTAGTAGATTAGTACAGAACAAATTACAAGATCTAATGGGATCTGTTTGCAATAAATGTTTTGTGCTACTTCGAATGTTACAAAAAGTATATAGAAGTTTTAACGTAAGATTGAATTACAACATTCCTAAAGAAAAATTTGTTTATTTATGGTGCCCATATCAGACTTGACCTTCATCTAGGCAGGGATTAAAATAATCTGCTCCAGATAAAAGATCTGTACCCTTTTTTTAGTACTAGCAGCTAAGTTACTAGAAAATCTTTGCATTGAGCAGATTTTTGCAATGTGTATAATTATTGTTTTAGACTTTTTCATAGGTTAAATGTTTTCCACTTTAAATCCACTATGTTTTTTACATTTCAAAAGTTGGTTTAAGTTCTGTCTTCATGTGACTGATGGGAAAAAAAGATTCTACACTGCTGGGCTCCCTGGTAAACCTTGTCAGCAGCAACATTTAAGAAACACGTACAAAACCTTTTGCTTACACCGTGGGAGATATCTCAGGCATTTGCCTCTTTGACACTCAAAACTGTCTGCATCAGTTATAAAATATAAAATGTTATGTACAGTTATTTCCTCGCATCTGTCACCTGAAAATGGAAGTAAATACAACTTCCAAAACAGTATGGTTTTAATTGAAAAAACTCGTGGAGTCAAAAAAAAAAAATTATATGCGAGTACATTGTGTCACATCATCATTATAAACTTTAAAACTTTGCTTATATGACATGAAAGAAAATATTTATATTTTGATAAATGCTGTCTATAGAGTCTACATGTTTAAATTTTGTATGTTACAGCCACATCCTTCAAGTGAAGACATACTTATCGTCCCAGAGAATGAGTACTGTCAGAGTGAACGAATGACTATTTTTGTTGGTTCTATATATGCTTACAAGGGACTGCTCATGGTTTGTTTCAGTTTATATAATATTCTTCGTTCACTACATATTAACTGTAAAAAGAAGTTTAAAGTAGTGAAATCTTTTTCTACATGTAATATACTATCATGGCACTTTGAATTAATTAGTCTGAGATGCAGTGGAACTTGAAAGTCCAGATTATCTGTAGTTCAGATTTATTGTATACAACAGCAAGGAAGTTAGCAAAGTATAAATCAGATTTTGTGGGATTGTAGGAGGTCAGATGGGACAAGGGTGGCACTGAAACAGCAGATGATTGTACATTTTTCTATAAAAATAGACATAATAATCACCACTTGGTGATAAGCTTTCTCTTACATGAGGGAAACATATCAGCAGCTAAGGGGGTATATTTTTTTTACTTATATGATACTTAGGAGTTATTAATGTGATATCATTGTTCTAGATGTACATGAACCAAGCGAGAATAAAAATTGTAATATAAAGGAAAGATTTTATGAGGAAATAGAGTATATATTAATCAGTTCCTTAAGCACTAAATGAATGGCTTGCTAAGTTGTTAGAAGTGAAACCAAGTCAGGTTAAGTGTCATAGTAGAAAGACAGCATTGGCATTTGATGTAAACTAAAATTTAAATCCATAGAATTCAGTTATTGGATTGTACTTAAATGTTATGTATGTCAAAATCAGATGTTAAAACAGTAAGTGTAGCATTCAGTCACTGAAATATTACAATTAGTATGTGTAGTTTTCTGTATATTTCAGTCAATCAAGTGCAGTGTGACTGAGAATATCTTAAGAAATAACTGCTTATAAGTTTTGTGTTCATTTCCAGATATTTGGTGCTTTCCTGGCATGGGAGACACGCCATGTCAGTATTCCAGCTCTTAACGACTCCAAGTATGTTGGCATGAGCGTGTACAACGTAGTTATCATGTGCATTATGGGGGCTGCAATTAGCTTTGTGCTTTCAGACAAGCAAGATGCATCATTTATAATCATCTCTGTCTTCATAATATTCTGCACAACTGGCACACTTTGCCTTGTGTTTGTGCCAAAGGTGTGTTACATTATACCAGTCAAAGAATTATCATCTCAGAATACTTTAACTGCTTTCAAAGGATCTAGAAAGATGGATAAGCAGTAGCATGTATGAATCCTGGCTGAGAAGTAACCACCCTGACCAATGTTTATGTTTATTCTCTTCAGTCTCTGTGGTCAGATGCTGAGTTAGTACCTCAAGTTAAAATGCATCTTCCTTCCATCATCCCTTCTGATTTACAGTTTAATCATCTTTCATCTTGTTATAAAATTTTCTCAGTCAGTCTGCCATGACGGTGTTCAGTCATTTCAGCATTTGACTTAACATTGATGCAGCCGATCACCTGAGAAAATTTTATGGCATTTGTGCACTGTGAAAGTTTTAAGTCTTACATCCCTTCATCTTATTTAACATACAGTTATTTTATAGGTTGGTTACACTGTCATTTGAGCACCTGTTAATGAAAAAAAGACAAAACTATAATTGTATTTGTTGGTTTTAAATTTGTAAAATTTTGTCTCTTACTGTGGGTAGTTACACAGATTGATGATGATAATAATAATAATAATTTATTTACATTCCATGCATCCATAAGACTGTCAGATGACAATAGGATGTAGAAAAAGTCATAATAATAAAAATAATAATAATACAACACATATTATAAAGTACTATTCATACTATTATATAAATTTCACATAATACAAAAAAAGTATTCACCTAAAGAAATGATAAGCTACAAATAGATCTACCCATTACACACAATAAAAATTTATCACTTATTTGTAAACAACATAAATTCATTGACAGATAAGAGCTTTGTGAAAGAGTAATAGAGTCAAAATAACATGCTGTGAGAACCCAAAGTCCCATGAGGATCTGTAGTTTGTATCCTTAATCAAATATTGTTCAGATGATTACTCAGAAAGGTTCAAATTTATACAGTTTTTAGCAGGAAACAATCAATGCACAGAAAACATTTGTTTAAAGGCCTCATGTAGAGAGACCCATTGAAAGGTTTCATTTTAGATAAAAAAGAACTTCTGTGTTCACTTGTTCAATACCTAGCATAACACAAAATTAGTTAAACAAATAAAATTGAATCATCATCCACACTATATGATCTGATTCATGGTATGTGAAAAATGCGTACACAGTGTGGTGTTTGTACAAAAAATATTGAGTTACCAAAAATAGCCGCCCTGATGTTTCATTGATCCAGATTTATTGTACAAAGTTACATGCTTCATGGGCACCTAAGCTCTTTTCTTACACATCAGACTTTTTCACTAGAATGTTTATTAGTTACTAAAATTTTATTTGGTTTGGAAAACAATTTTGCTTTCATTGAAACTGCCAGGCTTGTGGTAATATTGGTGCTGCATGTACTCAGTTCTCAGTATATTGAAATAGATAAATTTCACTAAATTTCTGTTTCTACAAAGCTAATTTCTCTTTTAGTTTTATACTGAAATTTAACCTACAATAAAACAAGCTTCAGACTTTGCACAAGTTCTCAACTGGAAGTTGTGTGTAATGTGAATGAAACAAATTTGTTACAGTTCAGAATTCCCCACATGTAAAGCCATATACTTCTGTGTCAAAGTTCCCTAGGTTTAACCTCAAGATGCTTAAACAAAGGTCAGAAGCTTGTCAAGATCCCAGATATTTTAAGAATCTGATATTATTCTCACCATAATATTATATTGTAAAATATCGGAAAATCTTAAATATATGGGCCTATATGTTTTTCTAGTGGTATGAAAGTATTGAATCAAACTGAAAATTAAAATAACATCTCTATCATTTGAACGAGCAGAGTTGGTTTTGCCTGAAGACAGACACAGAATTCAGTATTCAAAACATTGTGTTTTTAGTTAAATTATTGCAATGGATACTGTCCAAGAAGTTTGCCATTGTAATAGTACACCATCATCAAAAACCTTTCCAATCAAACTGAAAATTGTTTCAGCTCATAGAACTGAAGAGGAATCCACAGGGAGCCATTGATAAGCGCATTCGTGCAACACTTCACCCCATGTCAAAGGCCAGGCGAGACTCTCTTGCATCTGAATTGGAGGAAAAGTTAAAAGATGCAAAAGCTTTCAACCAGAAGTATCGGAAACAGCTGCTAGAGAGAGAATCGGAGCTGCAGGCTAGTGACTTACCAATCTGTAGTGGGAACTAACTCTTCTTCACCAGTCTTATTAATGATTCTGCATGTAATGTATTAATTATTAGCCCAGCACATTGACACAGTAGTGATGTGTATGACCTATAATTAGGAGGTAACAAATTTGTATCCCAGCAGAGTTGTATGAGTAGCTATTCTGACTGAGGTTTTCTCTATTTAGCTTAGTCTTTCAAATAAAATACCAAGGTAGAACCTAAACCAGAGCATGGTTACTTCTTCCCACATACCTAATTCTTCTTACCATATTCATCTGTAACCAGAGTGTCATAAAGTAACCAAATATCTGATAAATAAACAACAATTTAAACTTATTGAGGCAAGTTGCTGTACTGACAGCCTGTCTGATAATTCAGGTTTGTTTATAGATTTCTCTATGTAATGAACCTTCTTGTTTTCATAAAAGGCAGAGAATTTCTGAACTTGCTGAGTAACTATTACCTTCCCTCAAAAGACTCTGCTCGATCAGGTTGGTTACATAGAAGGATTTATAGAATCACCCTACCAACTCTCATATAATACACTAAAATATGTTTTCAGGTGATACAACATTACATAACATAAGGCACCATCTTAATTGCTGAACTATATATGTTTAACATTTTTTTATTTTCAGATTCTTGTGCGAAGGCTAGGTGATGAGGGTAGGGACATACTGGAATCAGATAATGGCATGGATCGACTGACAGTGCCACGCCATGATGCCTTGCTCAAGAGGGAAGGTAAACAGTTTTACATCGTTGCCAGCTGTTCTTCAATGTTAGGTAAACCTGCTGCTAACTGTTTGAGTGATACCTAGATTTAGATACCCTTTGGACTTGCATATACTTGTGGATTTATGTCGTGCTGTTAATGAAGATACGTAGGGCAGTCAAAAAGTTCCAGGAATTGTGGTATAGCACTGTAATGGTAGGACATATGGCAACACTTACCTAATCACCTTCAATGTAGGACCCTTGCGCATGCACACACTTGCTCCATCGATTCTGCCATTGTCGGAAGCACCGGCAGAAGGCTTCATTTGGAATCTTCCGGAGTTTGGCAGTCGCATTCGACAGCTCGCTGGTCATGCAGCAATTCCTCGCCGAGAAAAGCATTCCCGTCATCACCCAACCACCGTAATCTCCGGATCTCGCTCCGACTGATTTCTGGCTGTTCCCTACTCTGAAAATGGGCCTCAAGGGGGCACATTTCGCAACCATGGAGGACATCAAATCGAATGCGACGGCCAAACTCTGGAAGATTCCAAACAAAGCCTTCTGCCGGTGCTTCCAACAATGGCAGGATTGATGGAGCGAGTGTGTGTGTGCACAAGGGTCCTACTTTGAAGGTGATTAGGTAAGCGTTGCCATATGTCCTACCATTACAGTGCTATACCACATTTCTGGGAACTTTTTGACTGAAGATCTTGAACATATTCATGCTATCTAAAGCACCAACACTTACTTTACTTATCATATTCACCTGTTACACAGCTTAGAGATAACTCCATTTATCATGATGTGTCATAACTACTCCTACACCCCAAATATTTTATCATTAGCATGGCAGAATTTTGGTGCAATTAACTAACAATTTTGTTCTGCATATATGTGTAGTCTAAAGAGTTAAAAACTATCACTGCTGTTAACATGCAAAATGAACCCGTCATCTGTTCTACTGATTAAACAGTTCATCAGTGGCATACAGCATCTTGTTTATGCTACTGACAAAACATTTTTATCTAAGACTTGCATCTGTTTAACATAAAACAGTGGGAGAGGTCTTAGCACAATGTTGTTCACATGATAGATAAACCTAAAATTGGAAGAATTCCTGTAATCCTTTCTGAAATTTTAATATCTGTCACTGTGGTGTCACTCAAACTTCAGCTTCTGATGTTCTTTCCTGAAACTCTTCAATTTTTTTCTTACTTTCTTTATCAGAACCCAAGATGACACTGAATATAATAAATCATCTTTAGTTTAGTGATTACTGTCTGGTTGTAAGCTCAAATTTTATTTTATCAGTATTCATCTCTGTGGAAGAAACTTGCTGTCAATGATGGAGAAACAGTATTGAAATAACTGATCACACTAGTCCTTATTTTATGTCATTATATGCATATTACGTACCCCTCAAATGTTGTACATGAGAACCATTATATTAAACTATAAACCAAAATGTTGATGTTCTTTATGCAATTTATAAATTAAGAAATGATAACTTGAAAGTTAATATGGAGAAACAATGGAAGCTATTAGTTTATAATAACAGTTTTTCATAAGTGATAGATTTTCATTTGAACTTCACACAAATTACGGATTATATTAGATTGATATAAACCAAATTAAATACAGCTTTAAGTGCAGAATCCCAATACTAAATTTTATTAAAATATGCTATTGCTAATCACCACTGGGCTCCACACTTCTGACGACTGACTATGTTTATGGAATTTCATTTCTGTGTAAGGGGTTCTTCCTAAGAATACTTGTTACACCCATAAGAAATTCAGTGGTGCGTGTGAACAGAATTTAAATACTAATGCTTAATATACAGCACAGATTCAGCATTGCAGTTGAATTATTAGCATGCCTGCTTCATATTTGGAAGTCCTGGGTTCAAATCTCAGCCAAGAGACTGGCTATCCTGACCAAGGTTCTTTTGTGATTTTCATCTCTTCAGGCAAGTCTGAAGTTAATATTTGCAATTAGACCATGAGTTCTTTTTTCCATTTTGTTTCCATTTTATTAGTCATTAAGCATCATTTCTTTCAACACTTTATAGTTTGAGCATCATTAATTAAACCACAAGTAAAATGAAGATACGCAGCACACAAAGAATTACAGTACATACAGCGTTTAAAACTGTTTTACATTTTCTTCAAAATTTTATATCCCAAAACAAGGTTGACTCAATAGATAATTTATGCTACAAATTATAGGAACAGAGATCTGATGTTGAAGAAAATTAGCAAGTTCTAAACAGAATATAGAGAACATAATTTCATGAAATATATAAATTATGCAATGAAACAAGTGCATCTTTTTAGGATCAGGAACCACATTTCTGAGTATATTAATCTCATCAAACAAATTTCTATAAGAAATACTGCATATAAAAGCATCTAGATTTGTTATAGCATGTTCAAACTAAAATATCAATGTTTTCATGCAAACAAAATTTCTATATAACCTAATTATACTCATAACTCAATTAATTAATGACTCTCTCCACATAACTGTTTGGCCGTATATACTTTTGTTGAAACACCTTGCAAGTAAAAAGATTATTGCTTAAATGTTACATTGATATGAAGTTTTTTTATTTTTAATGTTACAAATCTGATGTCTTTCAGAAAAGACTGCAGGCTACGTATGACACAAATATTGCAGGTTACATGAACAGTAAATCCCAGTTATAGAAAGCATGATTGAGGAGGGTATACAATCTACTCCAGAGGTTAAATGTAAACACATTTGAGTTTAGATTTAAACTGCATATAGAAGCACAAATTGATAGAAAGTTGCTTAACATCCAGAGTTATGTGAAAAATCACCTGTAGTTTGTAGGAGTGGATTTGTGCATGATTGTTATTGTGGTCTAGATACGGAGGTTGGTTTCATTTTTTATAATATAATTTATTTATATTGTGTGCCAGTTCATGATTACATTCTTATCATTTCCAAGAGAGCAAAGTGTAATTTTAAAAATCCTGTAGATGTATTTGACTTCATGTATGTATATCACTTCAGTATACCACTGTCACACATTTTTGTGCAAACAGTGTCATGTTGGATTCAGGTAAATGCAGTGTTATTGTTAAGTTTGCTGTTATCTCCAACCTCTCGCTTCTGTGGGCTACTAGCATGGGACTGAGTCCCGGTTTGTTGTTGCTAATTCTCAGCTCCTTCTGGTACAGAGACAACCGAGATCAGCTCGCTATGTTCCCTTAACTCATCGCAGGATGGTGAATATGTGAACCTGACAGTTGAAACGCCCTCCCAGCAGAGGTGAGCTGCCAATTACACCTGAATCTCTAAGAGTTTTCTCACAGAGTACTTCAGTGAGATGATTTATCCATGTTTTAAACCTTTCCATTCTTTTGATAATGTGTTTACAGTAATATCATAGAATCTCTTATACAATTAAAAATAAAAATAATTTTTGCAAATCATCTTTATGAAATATTTTGAGATAAAAAGGTATCCTTGAATGCTGGTAAAATACGAAAAACTTACATAGACTCTAGGTAATAAAATATTTAAATACTGAATGTTGAAGTAATGAAATTGTCAGTTTCACAAAATATTTTAATTCCTCTTCCAGCTCTGTAGTTGTAAATAGATTTGAGTTATGATTTCGAAAATCTGTTAACATAAGTCTCAATGTAATGAATACAAACAGATTTTTTATGATTGCTCCAACAAAATTTATGTATGCAACATCATGGAGTTACAAGAAATTATCATTATCTAGCAGTTAAGGAGTTAGACCATTCATTGGCTATGACTATACTAAAATTTATACATCTTGCTCACATGGCAACCCGAAGATCTAATAATGGTTCTATAATCATTTATTTGTTTCTGGTGAGACATCTTGCATAAAATTTCTGCCTTTGAGTTCTATGGTTTGGATAAGAAATTTCTTGAAGGTGTGATGAAAAAAATATTATATCTAACAGAGTTCTGTTGAAATATGTGGTCAAGCTCTCAAAATTTTGTATCAAAATCAATATAAAGAACATGGAGTTTTAGGCTTGTTTTATTGCTTGTATAGGCATTGTGAAACCAAGCAGTAGTATGTAAAATGTAAAAGAGTGGGAATTTTGAATGTTCAGGTTGTATGATAATTCTGAAATGCTGCCAGATGTAAAAGTTATATTTCCTAAGCAGTAAAGATATCATGAGACTTTTAATGGTAGCACTAACAAAAAAAATTGGATTATCAGTGTGCATGTCCTGTAACCAAACAAAATTCAACAGTACTCTCTTTACATATTTCACAAAGGAATATAAATCTTGTTAACCTGAGATTTGATGCTATGTCATTGTATCAGGCTCTTTCTCCATGATGTAAACATTTTCAAATCCTTTCTTCCCATGTTCTTTTCTCTTGATCCATTAACATTGTATTTACCAACCATAAGCATTGACATTGCTTTTCTCCTTTTGAAAGAACAGTAATTTTTCTTGATTTCTTTTACATTTGAAATAAAATAAATTCAAACAGAAGACAGTAATAATTGCATATGGAATGACTTTTCTACCAAGAGTATTTACTGGACACTGCTAAGTAGATTTTATAAAGTAGTCATATCTGTACGGCTGAGACCATTTTGCACTAAATTTTGAAACCTTGAAACAGTTTCACTAAACAATTCATGATGCCTTTGTAAGCTTCTGTAAGTCATACTACTGAAGAATTCAATTTAATGTACCAGGCCTTCTTGTGCATGAAAGCTGGCTTCATCTTCCCATAATTTGTTAATCTTTCTGCGGTCAGTTGTCATCAAGAAGGAAGAAATAACTAATACCCAGTTAAATGGACTGTGACATTTGCAGTAATCTAAAAAAAATTCAGAACTTATATGGACATTTTTTATGTATATTGAAAGACACCAACATGACAGTTGTACACATTCGTATATCAATTTTATTAACTAATTATCTGATCATAATTTCAGTTTATGAGATTGCTTGGCTGGCCATTCATAAATGCAAAATGAAATAGAATAAATCTGAAGTAATAAACTGACTTCTTCAAGTAGAATCTTTCTTGAGAAGCTTGTAGTTACTCAGTTGATTAGTTTCGTCATTAAGGAACCCAAATATTTAGTATCATATGCACAAGACCCCATCACTGGACCCCACTGTAAGCCAGTTGAATCCAGTTTATAACCTCACATCATATTTAATATCATTATTGTTCTCCATGACACACCTGGATCTCCCAAGTCACCTGTTCCCTTCTAGTTTTTCAGCTAGAAGTTTGTATGTATTTCTTATCCCCACAAATGTGCTTAAGTCCTGTTTATTTATCCTCCTTGATTTGACCACCCTTATACCATTTGGTGAAAAGCATAAATTTTTAAGCTCCTTGCCAGCTATATGCAACTGCTTATTCAATATATTTGCAGCTAAATTCCATATCTGGAGGCCATCTTCTCCAACTGCAACCTGAGACTCACCATTCCATGGTGACAAGGAACCCCATTCAACATGGCAGTGTTTGAAATGGAACAATTTTTTTTGTATTGGCGATGTCTCTAGATTGTGCAGTACTTTGCCAGAAAAATTACCAAACATAATGTAACCTTTCTAGCATGCAGAAATGACTGTAGGTCTTTGTGTAAAGTGCTTATTACTGTTTTCAAATTTTAACTACAAATTGAATTTGTTGACAAATTTTATAAACCTCCCAAATTTATTTCATGAAAATCATCTCAGCAGTTTTTTGAGTTGTTACATGCAGACAGATAAGACATGGAATATGAAATAGGTACATTCTTTTAAACTTTGTTGTAAATATGCATAAAAAGTTGCTTAACAATGCATTTAGCCACGACATATTGAATCTGTCAGCAATTTGAACCTGTTTCAGTGTTATGCTATTCTGTTATGCCAAATTTCAGGAAAAAGACCTCATTTTCGACAAAGCCACCATCAGTTGCTGTGGTGGGAATAAGGGAACCTCCACAGCCAGGTGGATTAACAGTTACTCCTGCAGCATCTTGCCTTCGCAAGAAGTCATCATCCTCCCTCGAGAACCAGGAGAACACTGCCACTAACCGCATCCCATCTGTGGTAAAACAAGTTTTGTTGAGATGTTTTTATGTTACCATCACTGGTTTATCAAATTTCCTATCAAATCTAGTCACAACATAATTTGTGTATAATCTTTGCCAAAGTAGTTTAAATAATTAGCAGTGATATATTTCAGTTACCAAAGAATTTACATACGCAGAGTCAAGTGTGCAGTTTGAAAGAACAAATTAATTTTTTGTGTAACTTTGTGACTGTTTACAAGTTGCCAGGAGATTACTTGAAACCTTTCCATCTTTAAGATATCATTAATGTTATTACTACTTATAATGTCTTCACTCTTTTTTGTGTTATATTAAAATGTTTTAAAGTTGTAAAGTAAAAAACTGTACTATACGTAAAGAGCACATTTTCTAAAATAAAAAGTTGAAGACTGTGAGGTTTTCATATTTTAGTATGTTTGTATACTTACATTCGCATAATTATATGTGTGTGAAGAGTGAGTTGGAATAAGGACTAATTATTTCAAAGAAGAATGGATTTTTAGATTTTAGCCACATTGTTTGTGGTTATAAATGTAACTGAAAATAATATGTCCATAATACTTTCTCATGTAAAATGTAAGAAATTAACTCAAATATCTCTTTTTAAACAGTTTGTATGTTACAAACTATTTTAATTTCAAATTTCCCCCTGTAACGTTATTGCTTATTGTATTTGATTCAAAAGCACTTTTGACTTTGTATTATACTTATGAATATTTTCACTTTGACTTTAAAATTTCCATTAAATGTGATACTTGTACCCTGTGATTCTATTGTAGTATGACAATTCTTGCCATGTTAATAGTTGCATACATTTCTTCCCAGATGAGGACGTCACTTCTAAGCCGTGAAGGGACACCAGAGGACTCAGAACCTCTCATAGAGAACTCAGCAGCTACAAAGTTGACATTGTCAGGCGGGGAAAGTAACGTACACTTCGTTCCTGAGGGTCCAGAGGATGAGGAGAGCAGCCATATTAGAGAAGAGAAGTCCTTAATTCATCATCATGATCTTGTGGAAGACAGGCCACGATTACCAACACCTCCACCATCTCTCACAAAGGTTGTTAGTTTTGGTGATGTGACCAATACTCCACTTTCTTCATCTTATCCTCCTCTTGAGGAGGAAACAATTCTTCCACCTCCTAAGCAATTTCATCCACAGCATCGCCATACTTCTTCAATATCTATTGCACCACAGGCTTACCATAAGATCAGCTACACACCACAACAGTTCCAACATCCTCCTTCAGCTCTTAGACGCCGTTCTAGTGTTAAAAGTGCTTCAGGTGGGAACAGTTCATCAGCTAACCTTCAAGTCTTGGATTCAGGACCTGAGCAGAGGAGACGGACTAGTGTACCAGTGATGCCATCTGGCAGTGGGCATGGAAACCTCCAACAAATTGCTTCATACCCAGCTGATTCAATGGCAGTAAGAAATCTTAATAATAGTTACCCCGCTAAGAGGTTCTGTGCAGCTCACAGCGAGTCAACATCATCAGACATTGGGAGGAGGGAGAAAGTTAAGATACAGAGACAAGGGACTGGTGATATGTCTGTATCAAGTGACATTTTGAATGTTGGGACAAGTGTTTCCACTGTGATGGGAAGTGGTATTGCTGACAGTGGGGGGAAAGGGTCAATGCCCACATATTTGCTCAATGGAGGGGGCACTGATCTCCTGGCATCAGGGGGCAATGCCTCATCTCCCAATGTTACTGCAGTGGTAAAGACTACTGTTTGTGATCAGGGTAAGTAATATTCTTTAGTAGCTTATTTCAGATTTTTCATTATGTAGGCTCTAAGGGTGGCCATACACGCTACTTTTTACTGGAAGGCTTACATCTGGGAAGGCAAACTGGAGCATGTGTGTTGAATATTGCTGGAAGGTTTAGCCAGAAATCAAGCCTCTGACAAATCTGCAGTCGCTTGATTTTTTACCTGGAGTTTTACAGGATGTTTACAAGTTGTAATATGTGTAGGCAGAGACGAAGGTAGAGGCATGACTCATCTCAATCAGTCAGCACAATACTATACAGCCCTGTTTGTTTTGTCAGTTTTGGCAGGATGGCTGACATGAGATCCAGGCCAAATTCACTGAGTCGTACAGGTCTCTGCTTTGTTTGTACAACATAAAAAGCAAGCAGTATTCCCTCAAACACTTGAGAAACTCTGCATGTTTGAATACTGTTGAAAAAATGCAAGAAGTGGATCGTACTGCAACAAAGGATACTGTAGTAAAGGAGATCAACAATATGCTCAATTCTTACAGAAAAGAGTTAAAGAAAGTGGCACAGTGTAAAAGATACAGCGCGAGCAGCGAAGTATATGATCCACCTCTATGGTATTTCCATGTGTTGGATTTTCTCTAAGACCAGGTAGTTATGCCAGTCCATCAGCTCTAACCAAATTTCATTCAACAAATTTATGTGAAAATGTTTTGGTCAATATAACCCAACTTCTGACCCACTTAAAATGTATTACCTTTCTTTTGTTTTTTGAGCGTTAAAGTAACAGCAAGACCGATTACAATCACATCATCTTCACTAAAGACGTTGTAGCATCAACTGAAGATTGAAAGACAGCACAAAACTGCCACAAAGTCTGTATATGTGCGGGTTGCCAGAGGTTTGAAGCTTACCTTCAGACTTTAGTCTTGGAAGGCAGGCCTTCCGGTGAGTCATAGCGTGTATGGCGACACTAAGAAAATGCAGAGAATGCAGCACTTCTCTAGTCTGAAGACACATGTTGGAATATCATGTGATATTTTATAGATATGCTCTCATGGCATGAAGAATTCTGCAGAGGAGTCCTGGACTAAACATTTGAAAGGGTATTCAATTAAAAATTATTTAACTCATCTTCTGTTAACGGGATGTTTGCCTCACAGCCATTATTTCAGGCCATTAGTAGTTGTGCATATAATATATTATAAAAGTCAAATGTGGCAAGTGTAAAGATGTTGTAATATGATATTCTAGCACAAAGTGGCAATATCTGTTGCTTCAGCTACTTTGTTAAAAAGGCAGACATGAATATCCCTGCTGGGTCTGAGAAACCTAAGCAGTGCATTTGTACTGTTACTTGTACAAGGATAACCTAACGCATAACCAAGATTTCATAGGCAGTAATTAGAATGTACTAGATAATTGTGCTTCAGCACAATAAAATGGTATTCCATGGGTCTGTGAGAGACTGTGGCAATATTTGCTGGTGAAGAGTATTTATTCACATATTTTAATAACTTTCTGAGTTTCTTCATGTGCAGGATATGAAGAAAATAACTTTAAATAAAGTCATAGTCTGCCATTCAGCGAATTGGTTCTAGGCTTGATTTTATACACAACTCACTTTTTCACTCTGTGACTGGAATCTGTCATGTGTGAAAGATCAGACCTGAAGGTCAATCATGCTCGTAAGGTTCTTTTACATGCCGTAAATCTACGACATGGGACCACCAGCTTTACTTCCCCTCTGAAGGAAGTTGTGCTACGGATTTTTATCACCCTTAAAAATCCATCTACCTCGGCCAGATTTGAACTGTGAACCTTGGGTCCAGTTGTGAGCACACTATTCACTAGTCCACCGAGGGCAACACTAATAAGTAATATGTTCTTTAAATCTTCATAATGCTTTTGGTTGCATTGTTGTGTCTTAATCAGTTATAGAAATATGATTATATGTAATAAAAAACATGGGGAAAAAATAGACATTCGATTTCATCCAGGTAATTGTGCATGGGACATTTAAACTTAGCAAGCTGCTGAGACAAATAATGCAGTGCTTGGTATGTCTTTAAAGGGTTGACATTGTATGTATTCTTTACACAGAATTCATGAAATCAGTGGATTATGGGGATATCAATTCTGTCAGTTGATATCAGCAAAATACTATGTTGAGGTCTGTATAAGAATTTGGTGGGAAAACTAGGTCTTGCACACTGTTTATAACTACAGTAAATAAACACAAAAGCCAGTGAGATATGTAAAATTGTGATGAACACATTCCACTCCTGTTTTACATTTATGAAGTTTACATTGATGAAAACTGGGTAGTCTGGCCATGCCTTAATGTGCTCTCCTGGATCAGTTATGTAATCATCATAAGTAGGATTTGGGGTTTTTATAGTGGTGAGTATGAAGATGGCTGTCTTCTGGGTTGCTGACACATTGCCCTGATGACTGAGGCAGTAAGGATTTCTGAAATTTTGGTACTACTGAGGCAGTAAGGATTTCTGAAATTTCGGTACTACTACATGGCACTACAGCCCAGAAGACAGCCATCTAAGTAATCATCAGTTCATAGACTTCAAGCATAATGCTGTAATTTTTATATGTATAATCCAAGTTACTTTTAGGACTAATAAAAATTTCACCTCTCAGAAATCATAATCAGATTGTGATGGGTGTCAACAAATTCCATCATCATATTCACATCTACATATAAGAGACAGGAACATAGGTCTGTAGATTAAGAAACTAAATCTTAACAAGTACTAAAAGCACTCATGAGGGATGAGGCCTTATAGGTTTTAATACCACTTACACTACTAGCAGATATGTATGTCATGCCATCAATATATCACATAACCAATTTCAAATGATCTATCACTATGCAAAATATGACGGCCTTGCATTGAATGTTCTAGCAAGTGTGCCTGTCTCAAGTTCACAGCTGCCATGATTCGGAGAATGTATAACATGCAGACAGAACCAAGCTATACATGCTATTTCTTGTATAAAGCATTTTGGCAAAGATGTTAAGTGTATTGTTTTCCTTGTAACAAAATTTGTAATGTGACTTTCTTCAGAAAACTCTTATTATTTCCAGTTAGTGTTGAATGCATCCAATAACTTATTAGCAGTCTATTCATTTTTATGTCAGACAATTATCCCTGACGTTTCTCCATCAGGGCCTGACATGATGATAATCCAGCGCTCAGTGTCAGAGAAGAGCCGGGAGCGTACTGCGCTGTTTCATTATCACCATCATCACCGGCAACCATATCAGCACTCAACACCGCCACCACCACCAGCAACCTCATACCAACCTGACAGCAGGAAACTTTCCCATCACATCCCACAGCTCAAACAGCAGAAAACACTGCTCCATTCACATGTTCAGAGCACACCAAATGTCGCCTCATCACAGCGCACCAGTATGGCCACACACCATCACCATCAAGCATCTGCCACCAATGTGCCAGCAATGTGCTCTGCTGTGTCAGAAGGGGAACTATTAGATCTTGCAATTCTACCCATATTCCAAAAACTACTCAGTGAACGCCATAAGAGTCGCACAGGATATGGGGCATCCATTGCATCATGCCCTAACATCTCCATAAAGTGTGACATTGTTGAGTATTTGTAGAGGGGGGTAGACTTTTCCCACTTTAAAATGGAAATAAGTATGTGCAGTTAAGTTGACCATATGCAGTGGAAGGTCAGGAATGATTTTGGTGGATAGTATTAATATAGAAACCAAAGAGGAATTAATATTCATTGTATAGCAGGTTTATTCTTAATGTTTAATTTTTGTTACATGTCTGACTGAGTGGATGTGACTTTAATATGTCTCAGGAACCAGATTATTCTGTGACCATTGTTACTCAACAAGCCACCTTCCCTCCAATAGTTTCATGCACATATGCACGGTTATGTAAGTCAGTTCTAATGAATCACAGCTATTTCTTGTATTTCTTGTGGTGCATGTTATGCGATAAGGAGATAAAGAAATCCTTAAAAATTTATTTCAGTCCTCCAAGTTTTCTTTTTAAGTCTTAGAAATGACTGAAAAAGGATGTAACATTAATTTAATTTACTCTAGATTCTGTTCAGTAGTTTAGGATGTTTACATTCATTACAGGAAATGTTGGCAGTGCAGAATAATATGAGTAATGTAATATATAATGGTTGGTTGGTCATGTCACTCTCTTGGCACCTCCTATTTAAAAAATTAATTTTAGGATACAATTAGAAAAATGCTTTAACCCACTGTAAGCATATAAATTGTTTTCCTAAATATACTGAACATCAAATCCATAACTATCTGCATCAAAAGAGTTACACTATTACTTTTGAAATATAATTATGACCCTCAACATTTCTTTATTGCTTTAGTAAAGAACTGTTATCTTCTTCTTCTTCTATGGCTCTCCGGTCCGTATTTGGTCCATGGCCTCCTCAATTCTCCTCTTCCATTCGGTTCTCTGTTAGGTCCGTTTGCCCAAGGCTTTGATTGAGGTTTTGAAACATCTTCCTTTTTTACGGTACAAGGTTGTTAGCCTTGTGACCAATCCCCTACCTGGAGGACCAGGGTACCTGTCTTAGTCTGACCTCTCCCCCTCGACCAATCTGGCTAGGGAGGCCCTACCAGTAGCTATGCTTCCGTTAGCATAGCTCTTGGGATCACTGAGGTACTCAAGCCCCACCACCACGACAAGGTGCAGGTACCGTTAAGTGAGGACTGTTACTTATACATTTTAAATGTAAGTAATACACCATTAACTGTATGTAAAGCAGATACATGAAATAAATTTATTATTATAAGAAGACAGTATTACAGTAAACAAATTAAATCCAATATACATTGGCAAATAAGCAGTCGATTATTTTATGAATATTCAATTAAGAGAGAAGAAAAAATGCAAATTGTTATCATTCAGAATTCATCCTTTTCAATTTCCACATGTTTATTTTAGACACAGGCCTTTCAATTGAAACATCTTGTTGAATGATTTGTGTCCTTGTTCTCTGGATATAGTTTGCATTTTTCTCGGGAAGGACTTGACTTAGAAGATGTAGCAGATTGTGTTTTTGCCTTATCTGAAAAAAGACTTTTCAAAAAGCTGAGATCTTTTCTTGTTGCCATTTACAGCTTGATGTTTATTCACAAGCATGGTGTTGATGGCAGACATATTTATGAAGCTGGAGAATGCAGCTAGATGTCAGCTTTTAGATGCAGCACATGCTTGTGTAGTTGTCACATATGATTGTTAAAACATTCATACACTTAAAAACTTTCCATTTACCTACTTGTTATACTTTATTCACATGAAGCATGTGTCATGTTGAATTTCTGTGTTTTGCTTATGATCTGTTTGAGTTGTGATGTTGATTTGAATGTAGCATTATTTACTGTTGTAGATATTTCAGTTCATGAAAGCCTTTGTGATTGTTACCAAAAGTCTATGAGTTCTGTAAACAGCAGCAAGTTTTTAAATTTGTTTTGTACCACTTGTATGATCATCAAAGCACAAACATCTCTACAGAAAAGTAGTCTCTCCTACAGTTATGAAAGTCAACACTAATGAATCTCAATATTTCAGTCACTGTTCTGTCTTCTTCACACCCATCCTTGGAATTTAGATGTGCAGACCTTAGCACACCAGATGTGACAAAGAGTCAAAAAAACATGCCTTTTATCATCTTATATACCTCTTGCATTTCCCTGCCTTTTAAAAATATTGCATTGCCCTTTCAACGTAAACACTGATATATGTTAAAGATGTATCTGAAAATGTTGCATCATAAAACAAAGAATTCCTCAGTGGTTGTCACAAGATACATAGCATGATGCTGCACATCAGATGGATGATTTAATAAAATGTATATTTTTCATAATGTTAATCTTTGGAACATTCTTTTTCCACTTAATTTTCTTGTATCTGCTTATGGAGAGTTTACTTCCTTGCTCTTAATCAGAATGCTTTATTATCTGTCAGTGTTGTGTTTACTTCTGAACCTAATTCAGTTTCATTGTGAGTTACTCCAATTTCCTCTTGTATTTCCTCCATGTTTTCAAGTCAGCATTTGTTGAGGTCCTTGAAGTGCATCCTACAAATAATGTATAAACTTGGAGCATTTGATATTTGATATGCTAATAGAAAATATAAATGGATAGAGTTTCTGACAAACAAGTGGTTTGGACTTGGAGCATTTGATATTTGATATGCTGAGAGAAAATATAAATGAATAGAGTTGCTGACAAACAAGTGGTTTGGAAAAAAAGAATTCAATAATTGTGTTAGAAATTTATATAATTCTGCAAAAATGCACCTGATACAAAAAGTAACGTAATTGCTCATCTAGGGTCAGAACATACAAGAATTCAGCTACAACACACACATATCATCAGGGACATTTAAATGCAATTTGATATGTTATAGAATATAGGTAGCAGAAAGCTACATTACTTGTTGTATCCCCACTTTTTCACTGTTCAGCTACAAACATCGTCTGAGTTTACTTTTACCTCAGGCAGGCCAAAAAGACTTAAGTCTCAGCACATTAGGCATGACTCACTATGACTCTGTATTCATCTTTTAGGGTTCAGATGAAACAAAGCTTCTTCAAAATTCTGTTAATATGCTGCATGTACGTCTTTGTCTGCATGCCTATTATTTATGTCTATCCCCTGATTGGACTAGAGATGCCAATAATACACACCCAAATTTCTTGTTTATGTGAATCTTACAGTATAAACTACTTGTTTTTGGAGATCTTTGCATCTCAATACTTTTTAACTCACCATCAACAACATTAGTACTATCATGTGATGTGGAAACACCACTAGGACCATGAGGGATTTGAGGTTATCACAGCAGTGAATATGTTACTGTTAGTCTTTTGGCCATGTGGACTTCCATGTAGATACCATTGTTTCAGAGAAACAGTCTCCATCTTCAGGGCTGAGAGAATTTGTTTCACCAAAATGTTGGTAACACTTACACGTTTGCATGGCATTGTAACACACAAAAAAACGTTGACACCATTAGCAGCATTCAGTGGAAGGTCTTTTGTATGGTGACAAATCTTTGAAAAATATTCTGGTCTTAAGACGTTTATGTGTGTGTGGAAAAGATAATGACATGAGAACATCACAAAATATTTTGATATGCTGAATGTAATGGATGAAACAGAACAGCTGAACATGTGCAGTTTATTTTACATGTTGAAAAAACATTTATTAGTGGAAACCTAAAATGGCAAGAGATTTTAATATGTTTTTCTGTTTTGTTTTTCCTTATAGATCTGTATATTTATAATATTCTTCAAGCCACTCAAACCCTTACCAATACATCTAACAATTTCCCTTACAATGAAAGGTATTTAGAAAAGTCTGTAGTGAGTATTAATCCGTAACTGAATACTTAGAATGCATAGTAGGTCTTCTGTTGAAGGTTTAACATACAGTAAAACAGCATTATTTGAGTGCCTATACACAAAAGTATATCTGTCTGAGTAAAGAAATATGTTATTTTTGCTGTAGAAGAATAAATCATACAAAAAATTTCAGTGAACATATTTAAATGCTGTTTAATCATGAAGACTTCTGGGATATTAAATTTGGCTAAACACAAAATTTGAAGATACTTCAATACAAATTACTACCTTATAATTATCAAGTTTTCAACTTTATCTGACAGTATGATGAAAAGTAATAGCTTCAATCCCACCTCAAATTCTGCTACAGAGTTTTCTATGCACATATTAGCATCTTCACATTTCCCAATTCTTTTACTTTGTAATTGTGGAGAATACCATAGCTTTAAGTCCACATTTACATATGCATCCCATGCAACATCACCCTTTCTCACCACAAGCTTGTCACAGGAAGTAACAGATTGTAGCTCAGGAGTTCTACCATTTCAGCAATGGATTCCTTCTAATTACTAGGTGGATATCACGATAGTTCATTGAAATAAGCTATGGCCACTTCCTTTGCAGTCCTTTACAGTTCACTGTATACAATCAGTATCTCTTTCATTGCTGAATAACTTCTATAGTTTATACAGATATTATTAAATACTGTATAGACCAACTGACCTCATTTATTTACATATTTATGAACATAAAAAACTATTTCCAAAGGAAATTTGTAGGAGAATGTCGTTCTGTACATTGAAAAATAAGTAGTTGCTATTTGATATTTTTCTCCTGTTTTTAATTTATTTTCTCATGTAAGAGATTACTTCATTCCTAGCTGCAACAGTTTTTTACCCTTTACAAAAATGTGCCTCTAGTTCATGGTGTAGTTAGTTCAGTGGGACATGAGCTGTGACCTTGATTTGTTCGCCACAGAAGAGAGTACTACAGAACTCAAGGTCATAGCTTATGTTCTACCAATCTGGCAGTTACAGCCTAATAGCTGTTCTGATAGAAAGCAACCACAATATGCGATGTGACAAAAGTCTCTGACAAGCCATGGTGTTTAAAGGCTGATAACTGAGAGGTTTTTGGCCCCATTGTAAATTGTGAGCATGTTATAAGATTTCTCTGCATACTATTTTTTTTTAATTTCTTCATTTTCTATTGACAGGTCAAACGTTAATTTGGAATGAAAAAATTGTTATATAAATGATAGAATATCACAACAAAACTTAATGTTTAACACTCTTAGAGGTACACTATGTTACTTTATAATGCTGGTTGGACATAGAATAGTATGGTTCCTGACATATTGTAAATTTCACATTAATTTAAGTTTTATTGCCAATAACTCCTCTAGACATTCTGCAATTAATTAGAAGTGATATTTTTGTGTGGCTTAACCACCAAACACAAAGACTTCTGTACTCAGTCATTACAAAATTAATATTTACTGTATTTAGAATAATGATTGTTCTAAGATGGTGGTTGTGGATTACATTATGCCCAGATATTTATGCTGTTGAAAAAACAGGTACACTCCTATCATGGTCTCTCTGTCATTACATGAAAAATCTTGCTACTGTTTTCTTGTGATTTATTTCCTATATTCATGCTAAATTCGTCTAAAAGCTGGACATTTTAAAATGACTATCATAATTTTTGGTCGTTACGATCCTATTCTTAGCCTCATACCTAATTTCTGTAATTGTGTCAGATGTTCAATTCAATTTTTCATAGACTGGTCATGTCCACTGTGAGCTGTGTGTGTTGAATGTGGCCAAGTGCATCCAGTGAAGCACATTACGACGCTAACATACACCTAGAGATAATTAATTGTAGTTTAGAGAAAGTTATATATACTGCTACTGCAGTACGTTTGTAATAATGTCACATGATTTTCAGTTCTTTTACAAAGAGCTGTTTAAAAGTCGACTTTGCATACTGATTTTATTTTCTAGATTTTATGTTCCTGCCTTGTGTTTGGAGGTATAAAATTGTATTAAAAACCATTCAAAGTGGTACCAAAGCTGTAC